AGGTGTTCCCGATTACCGTTTCTGGCGCCAAGCAACAGTGCGAGAGTACAGCTGCCATCCTGATAATTCATTTGATATAATTTAGTAAACAGCTTTGGAGCCAGAATTGGCTATTGCATTTTTTTTGTTTTATATATTACTGGAGGACATGGTATATGTTTCAGCCCCGGCGCCGCCGGGTCATGTATTTTCGGCTTAACCAAGACCATGGCCAGAGCTGGTTTACTGCGTAATTTACTCCGGATTACACTTTAAACTGTTCAAGTATTGGGTGTTATCTTACGTAAATAATTAAATGAAATATGAAAAGAAAAGAAAACATACATAGGCACACACACACATATTCAAATGTTGTTCAAGTGTCTCTGTCCCAACACCTTATCCATGAGGACAAACCAAGGCCAAGTTTCAGCAGTGGGTTTCCCACTCACCCTCACCTGTCCCAGGACACTTGCAATCCTAAAGCAGAGCAAATAAAGCATGCCTGTTAACAACAATAACGACACAATACATTTAAACAAAGATCTGTCAAACTTTCTTACTTTATATATTTTTTGTCCTGCATGGGAGTCACCTTCCCAGCAGGTCCATTTTCTCCAGAATTCTCCTAAAACAAAACAAAAGGGATCCACTTATGAAAAATATTAAGACAGGAGTGCAGTCTTAACATTAGTGCAACCTTAACATTACAAAATATGACACATCAGGATATGAATACAAAATACTTCAGAAATCATATTTCTGGATACTCAAATGTGGTTAAAACCTTTGTAGACCTAGCTTGCATGACAGCAGTACAAAAACACATAAAAGTGAAACCCCATTGCCATTTATATATTTTTTATAATAGGCTACACAAGTGAGAAAGACTAGTGCAAATATTACAAATAGGTCGTTGTCTTACGCTGAATATAAAAATATAAATATTTTTATACCCTACCAATAATAACTTAATCTCCTGTAGGGGGCGTAAAGGCTCCATTCATGAAATCCATGTTTTTCAACCCAAACCCAAGAGTGCTTCAATTCACATATGGCCTATATACTTTTGAATCATAAGATAATTTCTGAGTAAATAAATGTTGTAATCTGCAGTGAGAATAAAATGCAAGGTGTTGAAAACATCTTCAACTGGGAGTTCACAGTGATGAAATTAGATGCAATAACAATAGCATTAGCATAAATGTAATCCATCTTTTATGGCAAAGGTAGAACAATTTCTTTGACTTGCATCAGGGAGATTCCAATGTGTTGCATCCTCTAAAAATAACATGAATTACCTTTGAGTACAGAGTTGTATTTTCTTTAGTCTGCACTTGTAGACCAAACTAGCTTTTTTGAATGCACACCATTTCATTGGCCTCTGCTTATGAAATGGTATTAATTAGAAGATATAACTAAATGTGAATGAACAGCATGAACGATGTTCTTCTGGGACACTATGACTCATAAAGGCTTAGCGTATAGCTGTTGCAACCCACATTTGACTAGTTCTGCATGCATATTTGTGTTTATGAGCCAGCATAAATGCGAGGAAATAAAGATATCCCTCTCATAACTTCAATATGAACTAGTCTGTTTCTGACATTTGAAGGTCAACGCTCAAGCTCCACTATACAAGGCCAATTCGTTTAGTCTCCGTTCTAAGAGGGGAGGGGTAGAGGTAAAAGAAAAAGGAACTGAAGACTCAATCTCAAGCCTGTAAGTACTGCAGCAGCAGGGGTTTGCCATATAGGGCTATCACACGTAAAGATCAAACAAGCGCCGTATCGCGCTTATACTCAGTACTTATTATGGAATAAATTGAGTTAAATCTAATGCTCAAGGTTTTTTAAGATGTGAGAGATTTGTTTTCTGCTGAAGGATATGTTCAGGGGCATTGAATGGTGGTTTTGGTTGATAATTGATGTATTACTGTTATGGGAATTTAGAGTGAAGCTGCTGTTTTGTGATGCGTAAAAACAGAAAGGCCTGCAGAAAGAGATTAATACAATTCAAGAAGTTCTGGTGTCATGTAGTCTGGAGGCTTTCACTTTTCTGTTTTCTGACTATAGAGAATACATGACATTTTAGATCCTTTGCTACTGTAATCTGTGAAAATGAGTGGTGTGTCATGCAGTGCACAAACCGTTGGCCTGTGTAGGACTTTTTTTTACCAGCTTCCTGCTATTTATGTTCATAGCATCTGTGCCACACAAATCACCAGGGTTTTGAGCTAGGAGAGGGTATAGGAATCATTCAGTGGAGACCCAGCAGCAGATTTTAGGACAGTAAAATCAAAGAGCATGCAACAGTATAAGAAGCTCCACTTTACAAAAAAACAAACAAAAAGAAAATACAAAAAAAAAAAAAAAAGGAGGAGGAGGAGGAGGAGGAGGAGGAGGAGGAGGAGGAGGGGGGGCATTTTGTAGGCCATTTTCTTTACTGTGTAGAACGAGAAAGTAAAAACTGGAGAAAAATCAATACACATATTCCCCTAAACTGAAGAAAAAAACATCAAAAACACAGCCATAGAAATATGGAAAATCTACTCGTTCCATTTGAAATGTAGGGTTTATATAGAGGCCCACACATGAAATGAGGGGAAAAAATACGTGAAATTACATTTTTTAATGTGGGCAAATTTACTTTGACAAGCAAATCTTTTTTTTTAGCATAAAACTTAGTTTCCTCTTACAGACAGCTAGATACGACTCACTTAATGACATTTTGAATAAACAAAAAACCATGTATGATTTTATAGATTTTAGAAACCCCTGCCTGTTCAGTGAGATGTGTCTGGGCCACATATCTCACTCTTTACAAACTGATTGATTGAAATGAAAGAAGCACTGCAGGTGAGTCTTTGAGCAGTTGCAATGCAGTGATAGGCCATAAACGAATAATTCATGCTGACTTTACCTCACGACACTTACTATCTGCCTGTGAATGCACAACATGAACAGATAATCAAGCAAGCATACAGTCTTCCCAATTATCTGTTGTAAGAACAGTGTTACTGTGTCAGAGCGTCAGCCTGCAGGACATGCTCACAGCGACGCAACTATTTAAAATCTTCATGCATCTGCAAGCAAATTCAAATAATTTCACTCATGCTCAAATCACAATTCAGATCGCCTACACTGTGTATTGTGATTGTGAGATGCAAGGAACACGTGTAAATGAGAGCAGGCCAAATCAAGTTTCATGCATTTTCTGTAAAGCTGCTTTGAAACAATATGTATTGTGAAAAGCGCTATACAAAAAAAAAAAAAAATTTTTTTTTTGAATTTTCCAAATCACTGTAATTTCAGTTTTTGTGTTGTATAGTCTACCTGTCACTCCTAAATACAATTTTATTCATTTGTTCTGAAGAGCTAGTGCAAGTGAAAGCAGTGTGAGGTTTCTCATTATTACCTTCTCATATGAAGTATTCACACAATGCACTCTTGATAATAGGAAACTGATTAGAGGATATATAAATGTGAGGAAGCATTTGAGAAGCTAAAGCTAAGCTACTCAAATGCTTTCTCACATTCACTAGTATAGTGAACATTAATGCCTTTTGTTATTGAAGCAAAATGAGGGACAGTATTAATTGTTACCTTTCCATCTGTGCTCATGTAATTTGTGCCAGCTTCTCCATTTGTGGATTAATCATGTCGATTAATCCAGGTTCTTCACCTTCTCTTGTGCTTCATTTCCTTTGATAAATGGTTAATCCACATCCTGCACTGTGTCTTTGAGGTACTTTGTGGCATGAAGTAAAATGTCCAACCATGTGAGCGGACAACTGTTGTCTTACCTTAAAACAATGTGTAAAACAATGGCCTTTTAATAACCATCACAACCATCAAAAGTATTCATAACTTAATTAAATTAGCTGCTGAATACACTTCTTCACCATCTACACTAATCATGTATACTATTCATATTAGAGTACCAACCATTCAAAGCCACATAGAGAACTTGTAGTCTGACATTGTAACATGAATAATTACATCTCATTGATGTGGTCTACTTGGTCTAAATTCCTTAATTCTACAACACCATTGATCTCTAGTCAAGAACCCCAAAATATTGTGTCCAGCATGACAGTTGTGGTTTTGATTGATAGAACAAGTGTGGTCTTGACTTGCTTCGGATACTATATGTCTCCTCAATCACTTGATTTTGGAAAACATAACAGTTTTAAAGTCATCTTACTGCTAATCTTCCATCCTTACATCTCCAAAAGAACAAACTAGAAAAATATCTTTCCCCATTGCTGTCAAAAGCTCAATCCCTGCCTTTTTATTCTTGTAATGTTCAATCACCACAATGAGGTCAAGTGTGCTGTTGGAACAGTCATGCCAGCCCCATGGGCTGCAGCTCTTTTTATGACCCATAAGGGAACATTCACTCTTCTTGTAGCTGCAATATTGAGTCACAGTCTGACTTGGCCCAGGGCACTGAATGTTTAATGTACTATTCTGAAATGAGTATATGATTTGATCAATGTCTTTAAAACAGACATGTCACGTGACTCACGGCATATTCTCTCCAACTGTTTTAATAATGACAGTCCTTTCTTTAGATGGAGGCCTCTTTGAAGATATTTGTGTCTTCAAAGGCTCTAATTCATTATCTGTTAAAGAATACAGTCATGTGTATTATGTCTAGTCATCTCTTTGGTGAATTCATTAAAGATAGCATTTTTTTTTAAACTTTTTTTTTTTTGAAAATGTAAAAAATTAGGCAAGTTTTCTGTGAGGGCTGTGTTTAGAGGTATTGGGTTGGGTTTAGGGGATAGAATATACAGTTTGTACAGTATAAAAATCATAATGATTTTTTTTAATGTACTCATGTACTCACACACATTAATTCGGGTATGTGTTTCCCTAAAAAATAAATATCTATTATATAAAACATATTAATGCAGATTCTATTGTTAGCGGAAGGCATACATGCATGGGATGTTTATGTTCTGAAACAATTATAAAACTAAATTATTTATTACTGTGAAATGATAATCCATCAAAACTGTCTGAATAAAAATTTATGAAAGTGTAGGAAAAAAGCAATAAACACAATCACTTGTTTTTCATACAGTTGATTTTGACACAAAACAATGATCAGAATTAACTAGATTCACTGACTAAAAGCACATAGTATTATTACAATTTTATTTTTCAAAGTTTGTTACAAAAACCTTAACATTGGGCAGAAAAATGAAAGAGGTCATCCCTGCTGATATGTAACAGTCCATCCAAGGTCTAAAAGACACATAAATAAACACACATGCAACACGCACAAACAAGGAACAGTACTTCATATTTTAGTATAAAAAGGAGAAAGTGACTAGGCCTACTTAAAACTGATTCCATACACAGCATAGCCATTTTTCCCACAACAAATCTGTACCCAGTGAGTCATTAGAGAACTGTAACATGATTTCCTCTTGTACAATACAATTTAAATCATTGTTTATGAAACCTCAAATAAAAATGTAAATATGGTTGGTTGTTTGGTCTTGGCATATGTGAACTTAGCTGGATCTTGAAAGCGGAAACATTTTCTGCACTGTAAAATTGTAAAGATGTAAAAGAGCATAAACCCCTTAATACATGTATTAATTACAACTTTTTTTTTTCTGAGGTTTGTGGGTCCTCACAGTTTGTGCATGTACACTGAACAGCCTCCTCAAATCTGTGTGATCCTCTTGGTGCTCCACTGCACTAATCCACCCCAGATGCTCAATGTGAGATAACCAAGAAGGCTGTATTCTCTCACCATCCACTGAAAACACAATTATTCACATTGGAGTCCTCCCAAAAAAGAAAAAAAAAACCCTCCTCAGTCTTTAAATTGTCTGTTTGTTTGCAAGTTCTTAAAGAAGTGGTCCGGTTCTGGGTGAGGCTGTCCGGGCTCCCAGTCTTTAGCTGAGATTGAGGAGTTACGGTGAAGTGAGGAATCTCGGCTGAGACTGCTGTCCAAGAGCAGGTCAGGATGAGGTGGCGGAGGCAGGATCCCTGGGTCAGGCTCGCTGGTAGAGGAACAGAGGGAGTCTGTTTTCATGGGACGATAATCACGCACACATTCCTGCCTGGGCAGTGTCCGACTAGTCTCATGGACCTCGGTGCTACCATTGGAGGTGCTTCTCCAGTCCCAGGTGTTCCCGTTGCCTGAAGACAGACGGACCACTGGGTGATGAGGAGCATGAGCGTCTACCGTGACAATGCTGCTTCTGTCTGGTTCCGATGGGATGCGGTAGTACGGAGACTCTGAACCAGTGCTGGAGGTAGCACAGGACGAGGCGGTCTCAGAGGACTTTGGTGTGGTGATGGTAACTGGACCGTGTTGCTTAGACATGGCAATGACCTGCATAACCCTTGGCTGGTTGGGCAGCCGTGGGGGTTCTGGCGTGGCAGCTGGTACTGGACCTCCTTTCTCTGTCATGGACAGCCATTTAGCCCTTGTGGTGACGCTTTTAGGAGACACTGGTGGTGGTCTGGTGGCTTCTTCTGGGATATGAACCAACTGCGGTGCACCGGGCCTCTGAGGTATTATCACCCTGGCACCACCTGCTGCGGTCGTTGCTCCCCTGTTGGCTTGCACAGTTGGATAAAGGGAGGTCAGCATGCCCAGCTCCTCTGAAGCTTCCTCCTCAACTCCATCAACTCCCTCTGCAGTTGCTCCCTCCTCCTCCTCCTCATCCCTAAGGCTGAGACTGCGCATCTCCATTGATTTCTGCTTCCATTCGGATACCAGCTGTTTAGAACGCTGAGAGTCCATCGGTACGTGGAAGGTCATGTGACGCTGAGCAGGCTCCTCCATAGCATTGGTGTTAGCACGGGGCAGTGTGTTACTGAAGGTCACCATGGTCTCCTTCCCCATCGGGCTGCGAGGAGCCAAGAGCTCGACATCTGCACTAGCTCTCTTCAGGCTGCCCATTGAGGCTTTCTCTCGACGCACCTTACGGTTCAGGCCAGCAACATGAGGCGGGGCTGATAGCTCATCGTTGCTCTCAGAAGCATGGGCCTTTTGATACACAGAGTCATGGCCACGCTGTGTCAGTTCTCTTAGAGGATCTTTTTGTGGAGGATGGGGTTGCTTAAATGGCCTAGGGGAGGCCTCTTCATGTGACCTAAAGTTTCCAACCGCATATAGTGCCTGGAATATGAGAAACGTCTTGTTATTAAGGTTAATGAGAGTCATTTACATAATCAGGGTGTGCAAGATTACTTGAAAATAGGAAGGTGCGTTAGAGCAGGATTGACAAAGACCTGTTGCTGAAACGCCTGAAAAAATGAAATGCTGAAGTAAGTGTGCAGTTATATTTTGCCATTATAGAGCAGGGTTGTCCATGGTTTAGAATTTTTTTTTCAGGTTTTATTTTTATTTCAGTTTCATTGTAACTAGTTTGGTTTTAGTCTTTTCAGAGGTTTTTAGTATTAGTTCATTTAAACTTTTATTTTACTTTTAGCCAAATTGAATGTGCTAAATGTCTCCCAGTTTGTTTGAGTTTAATGTGAGACCAATTATTCACTATAGGGTTCAAATCTGGACTCTGACCAGGTGAAAACATGAGCCTGATGGACTTGTTCTCAAGTCATTTCTTGGTTGTCTTTGCAATTTTGGGGGGAGTATGGAAGTAAAATAATGACAAATGTTTTTGAAACAAAAAAGCTTGTTGAATTGCACTACTTGAAAAAATATGCATTGCATTAACCCTGCTTGCATTTTAATGCATTGTATTTTTAGGGCTTGCATTTTTATGAGCTGAAATTCAACATGGTTGTATATTTAAGCTGTGAATATTTCAATTCAAAACATTTCACACACGTTTTCATTATTAAAAAATCAATAATCCATTCACCTTACAGATTTCACTTCCAAAATATTAATTCTGTTTAAAAATACAACCTATAATATTCGACAGGCAATATTCGGGCAATTTTATTTTGTTTTACAAATTCAGTGGTTCAAATTCTCAACTTATTGGGGGTGTAGGCTATACTAGATATAGTAACAGGCAAGTGGACTCAGATTATGAACGTAACGTACAAAGTTTCACGCTAAGCGATTCCCAGTGAAATACTGGCATAAAGTTGGCTTGACACTGGATATTCGATATTAGGGACCATCTCTAAAGTTACATACGACATTGGTACACACGTTTCTAACTTCGATAGCATTTGAAGAGAATGACTTGCAGTCATAAAACCAACTGTAAATGGTTCATGTAGGCCTAGGTGTCAGGCATGATGCACAATTTTCAGGAGCATTGTCTTATTGGAAAATACCAAATTCCTCTGGGAAGCAAGCCATTCTGCAATATTCTCCTACTCCAAAGCATTAAAGCATTTTCACATTGAAGTAGCTCACCAATACCAGCAGCTAAAAAGGCTCCTCACACAATGACAGCTCTTCCTCCAAGCTTCACTGTGGTAGAGATGCATTTATTATTATATTTCTCACCAGAATTTTAGAAGTCATCGCTCTGGAGCATCACCACGCAACCAGTGCTTCATTGTGATTCATCACTCCACACACAAATTCCCATATTCTGCCAAAAACTTAATTCTGTCTTTGGTTTTCTGAGACAGCAATGGCTTTTTAATAGTGCATTTGCTTAAATTTAGCTAATTTCCTGACCAATAATTGGTGATTAAGACAATTAAAAGCATAGTGTTTAGCCATTTTGGACCTTTTTCTTTTTGCCCAGGAATGTGTTTTCAGTTTCTTTGCACGCCATTCTATTATAAATGTTTGTCTGAGGAGATTGTATGGCTGTATTAGGATTTTATGCTTGTAAAGGGTGTAGCTGAAATAGCCTAACCCATTAGTTAGAAAACCACATACTTGTGGTCATGTAGTGTAAAAGCAAAACACTTACTGTTCATCTGTTATACAGAGCTTAAAGACTTTTAAAGTTGCATTTTATTTTAATTTTTTGGCTATTGATTTTTTTCTTTTACCTATTATCTATTTAATGTAAATTATACTTTCTGTTTCGAACCACGTGACTGTTATGGAGATTATAACACAAAAGCAAATAAGAGGAAAGAGACGAAGCAAAGAGATGACATGGAGAGAGTGAAAAGGAGCTGTGAAATTGTCCCTGATGAATCGTGAAGGATTTGTCTTCCTCTAATAGAATAGAAATCCTAAATATAGAGCTTGCAGTCAAAAGATTAGAAAAGAGTGAAAGAAGGAAGATAAATAAGTTTTGATATCCTCTGCTAACCTAAAATTGAAGCTGTCAAAGCAAAAATTGTTCGGAGAAGCAAACTACAAAACAATTAAAGACTCACTAGATAAACAGCGATGCCAGCCCCAATCACAAAACCCACGTAGACGTCAATCGGGTGGCTTCGATACTGGGTGATTTGGGTCAGACTTGCCAGGGCTGCTGCTATGGCAAATGCAAACACCAACACAGGCTTCAATAGCTTGGTGCTGTCTGAGATGGCGGCATTGAAGTACATCTGAGTAGAAAAACACGAGTGTCACAACAATAACAACTGCTCTAGTAAAACCCCCAAAATATGAAATGACCCCAAACAGCTTTCTTAAATTAACACTTTTTTTAACCTAAAGTTTGTTTTTTCGCTATTCTTCGAAGTTAACGCTACATTGTAAACCCTAAAGTAAATGTTATAACATTATATTTTTTATATAATTTAGAGCTAATTCAATATAATTAAGTAAAAATAGTGATACTTTAATCATGGAACTTACAAGTTAAATCTACTTGCAGAAACTTAATTTTACTTAAATGGTTTAAGTTTGCTATTTAAGAAGACGCTTGTACTTCCATGGGAAAAAGACATGCAATTCCTAGTCCACTCTACTTGAGTCAAAGGCCTCAGTTTAATATATATATATACACTACCGTTCAAAAGTTTGGGGTCAGTGAGAATTTTATTTTTATTTTTTGGAGGAAAGAAATCAATACTTTTATTTATCAAGGAATAATTAATTTGATCGAAAGTGACAGTAAAGACATTTATAATGTTACAAAAGATTCTAACCCTAACCCTATTCATCAAAGAATCAAAAAAAAAAAAAAAAAAAAAAACTGTACAACTGACAGACCAACAACTGTTTCAACATTGATAATAATAATAAATGTTTCTTGAGCATCAAATCCTCATATTATACTGATTTGTGAAGGATCATTTGACACTGAAGACACTGACACTGGTGATGCTGAAAATTCAGCTTTGATCACAGGAATAAATTACACTTTACTATATATTCACACAGAAAACAGCTGATTTACACTGGAATAATATTTAATACTATAACTGATTTTTGTTGTATTTTTAATCAAATAAACGCAGCCATGGTTAGCAGAAGAGAATTCTTTTAAAAGTATTTAAAATCGTACCGACCCCAAACTTTTGAACGGTAGTGTATATATATATATATTTTTTTTTTACAACAACCAGTTTTCATGCTTTTAAAGTACGGTCAGCCAATTATATTCTACAGGATAACACTAATTTCTAATTAGAATTAACTAAAATACTCCAAATGTAGTTACAGCAGCTTGAATGTTTCTCTTCACAGTCCAGAGAGAATGACTTCATTAACAGTTGGAATCCCACATTGAGTTCAACGAGGCATAGCTAACAAAAGAAGACTAATGAGCATCTAGCTCTACAGCAGGGAGACACCAAGCTGACTGTGGCCTATATACTCTACACTCCATCAGTAGAGGTCACTCGGCAGTTGACACGGTTCTACGGTGCTTAATGCTGATCCCGGATCCTTCTAATAACAGTGAAAGCTCAATAATCACAGTGGCATGGTATTCCAAATAACATGTATTTTGCATCAGATAATTTTTCAAATCAAAGTGCCCTGAGAGAAGTACAGAGAAATGCTTACGGAGATGTAGACAGCTGCAAACCCAGACAGAGTGGCGTGCTGGGAGGGGAAAGTTTTCCTGATTAGACAGATCAAAAAAAAAAAGAGGAAAATATTAATTCAGTAGCGCATCACATGAATAATCAAAAAAAGAGCACAGCCAAGAGTTTTAGCATGTGAGGAAGAAATGTAAATGAGCCAAGACAGAGATGCAGAAGGAATATACCACACTTCAGTGAGCAAAACACAATGTAATTTCTGTTCCATATCTTCCTTTTTCTATGTGCCGCCTGACAATGATTTGAGGAAAAATCCATTCTTAATCCTTGTTGGAAAACATTGCAATATTATAGAAACTAAAAAATTGAAATAGGGAGACCGGGGATGGTTGTAACACGGGTCAGTTGTAACAATTCCAATCTGTCCAATCAGGAACTAGTTACAAATCACCTGATTCACTTAGCACATGCTCAGTTTAGTTCTTATTCCACATGAGATAAAGTAGAGCCCAGTGGCAGACACAGCAAATGTTAGAGTGGAAAAAACAATTTTGAGGTAAGAAAGTTACCTTTTTTACTTTTTTTGTTTTTGTTATGGGAATTTCTGCTTTGAAGTTAATCTCATCAAACTTGTATTATGTTTATTGTGTGTCTGTGTAGATATTTTCCATGCAAGTTGTTAGTGCTAATGTTTTGCCTGTTAGCTGTAAGGTGAGCTAGTTCATGGCTACATGACTCTGGGTTAGTTTTAACAACAAGACTCTGGGTTAGTTGTAACACACACACACACACACGCACACACACGCACACACACACACGCACACACACATACACAATGTTCAAGTGTTCAATTTTATTATGGCCAATACTAACACTGGCAGTAACAAACATGCTTACAAACAAACAATGTTTGTGTTCAAGTTCAATTTATAATGGTCAATTACTATGACTGAGAGTGACAAACACACTGAGACTAAGAGTGACGCACACATCAGTTATATTGAAAAGTCAGTGTTGAATAAAAACCTTTCAAAATAATTTTTTTGTCAAAATCTTTATTTCATTATGTTACATATCACCCCGGTGGATATCATAATGTTACATCTCACCCCAGGGTATGTTACAACTAACCCAGCCTATGGGGTGAATTGTAACATTTCACTCCTCGTGTTTGAAACTAAACCATGCATTTTCTTTTTGTGTTGCAAAGATAATAGCTATGTCATTTAATAGCAGACACTTGTAACTAGTTTGGATCACATTTTGAACACACTGACTTCAAAGTACTACCAGATATAGACAGAAAGGTCAAAATTGTTACAACCATCCCCGGTCTCCCCCTAAACATAAAGAATATCAATTTTTCAAGTTGTTTAGCCCACACATTGGATAAGGAGCACTAGGGGGACGAATAGCGCATATGGATAGTGCTGTTTGTTTATATGGTATGTGTTTTTTTTAGCAGTTATATGCAAATATGCAAATCATGTAATAGCCTAAATGCAGCAACAACATGAATTTACCCAGTCATATGTGAGAAAGCATGGTGTTGTTTATGTGTATTCACCTTGCTGACAGGATGGCATACTGGTCCCGGCCTGAGCAGATGTCCTGGGTTATGTAGGGGTTTTTATCACAGGCCACGCCCGGCAGTGTGTAGTTGGGTTTGCACACAGTTAGGAAGAAGGGAGTATGATAGCCAGTGGCCAGCTGGATAACGTCAGTCACCAATGCAGTGGCGCACAGCCCAAACACATGAACACCTGTGAGGGGACGAGAAACTGTCAGTGTGGAACCGTCTGAACAGAGCCTGGTTTATTTTTGTTTGTCTATGTGAGTCTTACATGGCCAACACTCGACCATATGCTTCTACCAAAATAGACAAACCTGTAAAAATGTCTGAATGCGGTCGAGTGTATGAATAATGAATGTTAGAAGTCAGAGGAGGTCCCAAGTCCCAAGTATTAAAACTACGAATAAGAGACCTAGTGGACCATCAAATTGTTCTCCTCAAGTTCTCATTTAAAGCTGTTTTGTGTGTACAAGTACCATTCAAAAGGGTATTATTTCATTTTAACTGTACACTTAATCTCCTTATTAAAAATGTTGAGTATACACAACAAATTCGTTTTAGATTTCTTTTGAAGAAGTTGTCAGGTAAACTTACATATTGATTGGTCATTTATGAGATGATTTGTAGGTCAGCTTAGATATAAAGTCAGAAATGCATATGAGAGGGACTGAGAAATACCTGAAATATCTTTGTACATTTCTCATTATAAAATGTTACTATTAAAAATGTGAAATAGAAATGGAAGATTTTTTTTTCTTGCAAGAATAAAACAAAATGAACACATTACAAAACAGGGCCATAACCACCATAGACATTAATAAGACCCAATAATTAGAAATTGCCAAATTGTCCCCTCCAGTTTTTGAAATTCTTGATGCTGTTATGCTGCACTCCATTAGCCTACGCACAGCTCTGTTTAATGTTCGGATGACAAAAAGTTTTAAAAGTTACACTTTTAGGCTGGTCTGTCTCATTTTTAGTGTTCGTTACTGTAAGAATGATTGAGATGGCCAATCAAATCAACGTAGGCGAGCCTTACTGTTCATAGAAGATGAGTGTGAATTCCAACGCGATGCTTTAGTTTTAGCAGTGAAAGAGTGTGTAGTGAGATATGCAGACAGTAATATCCAGTGATGCAAACTAGTCAACTTTTTTTAATGAAATCTCACCATTTCAAATTTAAAATATGCAATTATTTAAATGATTTATGTAGGCTAATTTATTACTGAATGTGACGAGACAAGAAGCGTTTTGTGTTTTTTACATATTAGACATCCGAATAAGAGTGAATGTGTGCATATTTTAAAACAAAATATTGTTTGCAAATCATTTAAATTGATTAGCCAACTTCATAACTACAATAGACCTGCAATTTAAGTTTATTTAACAAAGTTTGGGAGGAGCGCGTTCAGGTAATCCAACCAATCAGCGCAAGAGGAAGCTGGTATATAAAGCACTCACCTCTGTCCCGTGACAGTTTCACAGCATCCCTCCACCACCCCATCGCCTCACTCTTAATAATAATAATAATATGTTTTATTTATAAAACGCCTTTCAAGAACCCGAGGACACTTTACATAATGTTGATAGATACAATATACAATCAGGATATTTTTTTCTTGGCTGGTTCCTTTCCCAGTCAAGGAGGACGGAGTTTGGGTCAAATTCCGAGCTTGGAGCCCTCCCCCGGACAGCACGCCAAATAAGCATAATTTACTATATATGATTTCAGGTACATGTGAACTTGAGAAATACATGCTGTTCATTTGAACTATCTATTTGTCAAAGACTCCTGAAAAAAATATAATACAGTTTCCACAAAAATATTAGGCAAAACAACTGTTTTCAACATTGATAATAAGAAAAGTTTCTTGAGCACCAAATCATCATATTAGATTGAGTTCTGAAGGATCATGTGACACTGAAGACTAGAGTAATGATGCTGAAAATTCAGCTTCAAATATATTAAAATATAAAACAGTTATTTAAAATTGTAAAAATATTTCACAACATAACTGTTTTTTACTGTATGTTTTTTTTTATCAAATAAATGAAGGTTTTGTTTACATTTTAAAAAAATATTTTTTTAACTTTACAAACATTAAAAATATTACAGACCCCAAACTTTTAAATCATTATTTTTATTCTATTATTTATATTTCAATATTCTTATTCAGATATGTTGTATTTAAGTCTATACATGTCCAGTATATTGGCTATTGAATAATGCAAAGTTCTCCCTACAGAAAAACATTATCATTGCATTTGTTTCATATTTAATATGCAACAATTAACATTTTTCATAACTACACATTGTTTTATTGTAGTTTGCCATTTTTAAGACTTGAGGTCTCTCTTAACATACCCACAAAGCGCACAGTTCTGCGTAAGAAGGAGTTGAAGTTGCAGCCTCCTGCATTGATACTCCCTTCTGAACCAGAGCGAATCTTCAGTTTGGACTGCATGCAGTACATCAAGGCTTCACCCAGCATGATCTAAGTCAAAAATGCACAGAAGATTGAGAGCTGCCTGAAGCATCATAAGAAATCCAATCTGTCAAGTATTTAATTATGCTTTACACAAGATGCTAAAACTCAGTCCTTGACCATGCAATTCACTGTTACTGTCCACATTGCATGCATCAATGAATAGAGTAACAGGATTTTGTATCATTTTCACAGAAGCTACACTGGGATAAATAGGTTAGGCTGTTTATGAATAGAGTATGAACACTCACAGACGCTGCAGGGCCGGCAAAGGCCAGGCTGAGCAGCATGAGCAGAGGGATGAGCTCGTCTCCCGTTTCCACATAGGGCATGCTCAGTGTGCGGTCATGGCAACGGAACCCAACTTTGGCTGGCTGCAATACGTCTGTCAGCTCCAAGAAGTAAAGAGAGATCATGGAGGATGCCACTATTGGCAGCTGAGAGAGAGAGAAAGAATAGGTGGGTTATGGGAAAGGTGGCACAGGAGAGGATTATGGAGGGAGGAATCTGTCAACATTTACTGCATGGACACATTCATGAATTATTCATGCGAACAATATTAGGCATACAGTGCCAAGCTTAAAAATTTATGAATTTCTTGGCTTTAAATAACAAAATATCAAACCAAGGTATTTATTTGAAAAAACAAAACAAAAAAACATTGTAAACATTTTACATATTGTAAAAACAAAAAACATATTGGCCTGGTTTCAAAGACAGGGCTTAGATTAAGCCAGGATTATGCCTTAGTTCAATTAGGACATTTACCTCTGGTTTCACAGACAAGGCTCAGACTAAAATGCATGATTGAGCTGTGTTAATTGAAAGCAACTTGCACTGACATATCTTAAAATAAGCCAGTGCCATTGTTTTGTCTCTAACTAAGGCCTAATCTATGGCTTAATCTAAACCCTGTCTGTGAAACCAGGCCTTAGCTAGCTTTTATAAATGTGCCTTAGAAAAAAACATTACTAGTGTGCATCTTGAGACAAAACAAAAGCACTTTTTAAAGATACTGTATATCAGTGCAAGTTGCTTTCAATTAAAACAACTCAAACATGCATTTTATTCTGGGACCAGGTTTAAGCCTTGCCTGTGAAACCAGGGGATATTTTTTCAAATTTAAGCCAAAAGTATTTTAACACTTTTGGACTGTGCCACAATCTGTGATGTTTTATTTTTCGTTTTCAAAGACTATTAGTTTGTTTATCATAATTTCCTGTTTCCTTTCTGTTTACGTTTGTTGTTATTCATTGTTTCATTGATTACGCACCTGTTGCTTATTAGTTTTCTGTGTCTATAATGTAGGGCTGCAACTAACGATAATTTTGATAATCGATTAATCGGACGATTATTTTTTCGATTAATCGATTAATCGGATAAAAACATTTATTCGATTTTTTGTTTATTATAGCTAAATAAAACCCTAAATCAGGGTATTTATGTGTAAAAGTGTACTTTAAAAAAGTGCAAAAGCCACACATTGAGTTTTACTAATATCAATATTTGCATTGTTTTTAATGATAATTGCTGATGGCAAGTTGACAACCATGATTAATGTAATATATATATATATATATATATATATATATATATATATATATATATATATATATATATATATATATATATATATAAATATATATCCAACATATTATGTTTTAACACAATTTTTGTTAAAACAAATTTACACAGACATGTTGTTCAGATGTGAAGATATACACTAAAAACATCTAAAATATAAAATTAATTTAATTTTTATTTAAAATTAATTGAATTATAAGGATAAATATAATGCCCTCAGTTCTGTCAGTTCATTTTTTGGAGTTGTTTCATGTACTACGTTGCCTTCGCTAGTTTGGATTATCCTTGTATTGGATTCTTTTGTTTTATTTAATAAAGTTCACTACTTCAGCCAATTTTATACTGTTTGAATATATGATATGATAATGTAATATAGGCTATGGGCTATAACATTTTTTAGTAAATGGACTTGAACTTTATATAAACCATTTTAGAGTTGTGGTCTGCGTTCAAACGTTCCGACATGCAAAGTGAAGCATTCACATGACTGGAAAGTAAGTGAGGCTTCGTTTTTCATTGATCACTTGTTTCTCTGAAAACAATATGCGATCTGGCACGGAACTTCACTAAAAATAAAAAATGCGTACTCGATACATACATGCTTCGAAGCTTCGGTGTCATATGTAACATCATTAGTTCATACTAATTCGATGAACTGCACATGTGGTTACTAGCCGGGACACCTGTGTGAACTTGAGAGCAACTGACTTTATACAACCACGAAAACTTAACTTGAGACCAATTATTTAAATTAATTACAAAATAGCAAAAGAGTGATGTTAGCTCTAAGAAAAGCTCTGATATCATTTGTTTGCAGATGCCACTTGGTTCTATTTTTTATATTGGTTTGATTATTTTTAATCCACTGTAATGACATTCAAACAAGTAAATCAAGACAAAATAATAATAATAATAAGTCTAGAGGTAACTAGTTACATTTTCTATTCATGTTTCACAATCATTTTTCTTAGATGTTTACATCAATATTATCTCCTTGAAAAGGAATAAAGCAGTTTAAGCCCAAGTAATCCTTGTTGAAATCCTGTTAAAATCTCTTAACCCTGGTTAAAGAGGTACTTGACATCGCCTTCATTTAACACGGTGAGAAGCTGAGTTTTACATTATCCAGCTTATGACTCACTATATGTAAAATAAATGTCATCTATGGTGTTAAATATCAACTTCACATTTGTCATTATATATAAACTTCACAAATGTCAAATTACACCGCTAAGATGCACATTTCATTTTACAAGCTCATAGGATTCATCACATCATTATATTGTAACTCAAAGCGACATGTAAATGGCATTCTATGTAGATGACTCTCCTCACAAGATAAGGCAGTGGTGCGTGACATGTCATGCAATTTTTTTCAGCAGTTTAAGGGCAAGATGAAGAAGGCTTGTAGAGATTGTTAAAGCTTCACCAAAACAACTGAAATACAGTGAGAGCATACCTCCACAAAATAGAAACATGGCAGTAATGTCATGCTGTCTTTGGGAGGCTTCTTCTTGGGCTTGTCTTTTGGAGACATCATTTTGGGGTTTGGCCGAGTAAAATCTAAAAGTGAATACAGTCAAGACAGAATAAGATCAAACACATGATATTTAGATACATAATTGTTTCTAAGATAAGTAAATGTCTATGCTTGTGGTGTTAAATAGCCTGCAACTTTTAATTGGCTCAACCTAAAATGGTCTTGGAATACTAGTTAAGTGTTCAAATCAGTCTGGTAACTGGATCACTAGGCATGTTTGTAAGTTGTCTTGCTAAGCATGCAAATATGATGCGAATGTGTAGACACATTCAGAGAGTGTAAATGTATTACACTGATTAAAGCGTCAGTATGGTTATTTATTTAAATATATATATAGAAGGAAACTTCCATGGAGGAAGAACTGATTTATTTTTTGTGTGAAATCAGGCTCATCAACCCCTTATGCATGTGATAAAATCCACTGGTCTTTGCGGCTAAAAATAAAAAAAGACCTCTAAAGTTGGCTTGGAGAGTGCTTTGTGTTCCACTGCAAAATATAATTTAACTGTTCAAGATCTTATTAAATTACAGGTACAGCTTTTAAGGGGTTCAAAGACAGAGCTTTATGACACATTACTGCAGTGCAACATTAACGATTTTGGATGATATTACAGCATTGTGGTGATATTTGATGAGGTAGACTGCATAGCCAGTCAATATCGTGATTGAATACTACTGCCTAGTATCATATTAAAACAGTGATGTGAATATTAGCACTATAAATGGTCAGTTCTGCATAATACCCAGACAACTGATTAGTGACTTAGTTAGGCTTCCCTTATTGGAGTTGCCTTGTGGAATTCACTATTGACATAGCCTGCAATAGCTTGAATAGCCACATCTCTCTCCAGGGGGACAGCTAATGAAAGTTGGGTGACACATGGTGGCCACATCGGCTTCCACGCCTCACACTGCACAAACAAAGAAGGCTCTTTTCAGGGGAGAGGGGACTATTTATCCTGCACAACTTTGTTTGTCTCTGAAGAGAGAGGGGGATAAGGAGAAGGCCGAGAATGAACAGACTCAAGTCTGTGCTGTCAAGGAGTCTATTGGCTGGCAAATAAAAAGAGCTTAGCAATAAAGCAGCAATCAAGTCAGTCTGTGAGCCTCTTCAGCAATATGTCTGAGCTGGTGGGAAGTTGGTACTGAATAAATACGTACTAATAGTAGAGAAAGTGAGAGATTATTCAACTTGTTTTAGTGGTTCCTTACTCGTCGCTGGAAAAAGAGTCTGCACAGGGCCCATGCCCAAGATCTAAGATAACCCAAAATGTTTGCAGTGAAAGAAGGGACTTTAATTACAGTAGTGTGTTGTGTAGCCTAATATTAGCGAAAAAACAAATTCAACAATTTCTCAGTTTCGCCTTGGGAATCCAACATTTTTATCAGTAGGCCTAGTATGGTTAAAATAGCTAATACTTTTTTCTTTTTGTTTGCCGTAACAACATATAACAAGTCCATAAAATGTGGATGACTATTATTTCGTTATTGAATTATTTATATTGTGTTTATTGTTTGCATTTTACATAGATTCAGAAATCGTCTAACTTTTTTCATTACTTTCTGCTGTAAGTGCGCAATGGATTCTGATTGGCTGTCAATATTTTTATCCTTCATCAGCTGAAAAAAAAAAATCGTTCTTAAAGTTATTCCAACGATATCGTTCCTCATGTGTCCTTGTCGTTAGTTGTGGTATGGACTCAAAATTGTCAACTAGAACGATTATAAAAAATGTAGTTGTCGTTATTGTTAAAGTTATCGTTCCTGGCGAGAACGGGCCTTTATGCTTTGTCGATGTCCTAGAACAGTATGCGACGAACTTATGACATACTTACTAAGGCAACTTCTGTTCATGAGCGTCTATTTAGTGCACTCTTTTATGCTTTAGCTTTTGTTTAGCCTACTTTTATATGACTTTTTGGTTACTGAAACGTTTAAAAATGCTTTTAAATGTACACATATTAATAAAAATATACATAGTTTTTAGGACCCCCCGCCCCCATCTTTTATTGTTTTGTTTTGTTTGACCCCTGTGTGGTTGTGTGTGATTGTGTGTGTTGGGGTTGGGGGAACACACCTGCCCCCCACAATTCCCACCCTTGGATCACTGATCTACTGTATCAGCTGCGCTGTCCACTACACGGGTACTGAAATTGCTCTGACTACATTAAAAAGGAAGATGAGGATCATCTGTGCTGAATAGAGCATACGCGATTTCACGGGACATTCTTATATTTGTCTTTTATAATAGCCTAGCATATCTTAGGCTATGTGAAAGCTCCATTTAACGTAAATTATCTAGGCTACATTTTCGTGTTTTTCCCTTTCTCTCAGATTTGTCATTTCAAAATGTCCTCGTGGTCAGTTACCATCTCACATACTACACCTCTCTCCTCTCCTGAAATGGTGTCATGAATTATTCTGGATGTCGTACTGGATGTCGTACCCAGCGTAATGCTAAGGAACTTTTGTATAATTAATGTGTATTTCAGAAAAATAAATATACTACGAACCAGCCCCAAAATCTTGATCCTACATGTCAGCTTTCAGCATGTCTGCTTTTTAGGGCTCACAGGAACAGGCTCGGTCACCATCCGACTGACAGACACTGATATCTCACCTCTTTCTCGTTGATGTTGGAAATTCATCGACTCCCTCCGACCCCTTCGCCGTCGCTTCGTTCGTCTGTGGTGCTCCAGCTTTCCTCAATGCGACTTAATCCATTTCACGCTTGTACAATCTTTGTGTTCACTTCCCCCCCGTCCGCTGAAGGTAAGTGATCGGATAAAAGTATGAATGGGACTGGACACTCCACTTATATTTCCTCAACGTAGCAAAGTCCCAGAAGTAGATGTGAAGAATTTCCTCGGGATTGGGCCACTTTCTCATGAAGATCTCAAATACAGAGCTCTCGGATGAGCGGATAGTAATCGAAACAGGAATGCAGTGACTGTGTAGGGCACCGTGAGCACAAAAGGCTACTGGGAAGGGGGTTTCTTGAGGGAGGGGACAGAAATGAGGGAGGAGGCGGTCCACTTTTTAACACAAACACACGGAGAGCATCTGAACCCCCGCTTATTTCCAGTCATCAACCCGTAATGTGCAAGAAAAGAGATAAAGACGCGACGCGAGTTCCGTTCACGACCGCAAGGGTTAAATCGCGCGCTCCTCTCTTTGTGCATGTGTGCATCGACTGCTCTATCATGCTGGACGTTATATGTACTTTTAGATACTGAGGTATTCTTCTCGAAGCAAATGTCTTATGTGGACCCACGTTAGACAGGTGTGAAGCTTAGGGTCTTTGTTTATTTGTATGGGGTGGGGCTGCATTTGGACCATGCGCTCCTTTGTGTCTAGTCTAGGTATGTTTCCCGTCACAAGCGGAGCTGCACATGGCGCCTTACGCCTCCAGTGAGAACATGTCAGCGCGTCATCGCAGGCGCACGCTCGCTCCTCGCTTGAGTGAATCTCGCATTTTCCTTGAATCATAGGGCGACCATGAGTGTTTCTGGTCTTGGATTATTTTTGTTCTCTGAAGCACTTTTTTTCATTTGTTCAACATTCCCCAATTCCAGACCCACTTTGTCTTTATAGGGAGATAAAACATAAAATTTAAATATGACAGAATATGGGCTACTAATTTCTCCATTTTATGAAAATATAGCTAAACGTATATGAATATATATTCAACGGATATGTAAATAAAATTAGTAAACACAAATATCAAGTGTTTGTGAGCTTTCAGCTCCTGCTTGGTTGTTGTGTATTGAATAAAATATGAATCAATGACAAATAAGGATGTTTAAGATGATAAACAGGAGAACGGTTTCAAAAATCTAATACAAAATAGGCTACATGAATAATGAATAACCTTTGTTAGTTTCATACATTTCTGAAAAACAAATAATTGTATAGCTAATAGTTATTTTCAATAACGTTTTCAAACATGTTCAAGATTTACAATATTGTTATAAATATATAATTTAATTTTGATTAATGAATGTCAAGGAATTTGCTTAGTTACTCGATTTGACCTGAACAAAACATTCCTTTTCGTAAAATGGCCAAAATATATAATGTTTTTTAATGTAATGAAATGCTCTTTTATGGTTTTCTTGTCCCATGACACCACACTGACTTTAATTTGGCGGGAAAAAAACATTCAAATTTAAATACTAATAGCCTAATATTTTAGCCTTTTAATAGTAATAATAATAATTAAAGCTGCAAGCAGCATTTTAGCGGTGTTCAAGCAGTTAAGGCCTTTCAGGCCGTTAAGCACAAAAGCGTGAAAAGACATTAAGTTTTATGTAGCAATCATGATTTACCATGATATACTACATTTCAGTGTGATTTTTCATGATTTACCATGATATACTACATTTCAGTGTGATTTTTCATGATTTACCATGTTCCAGTATGATTTACCATGAATCTAACATGATTTTCCATAGTTTACCTTGATATACCATGTTATATGATGATTTACCATGATATAGCACATTCTAGAATAATTTACCACGATTCTAGCATGATTGACCTTTTTTACTATGATTTACCATGTTTCTGGCGTTATTTACCATGACTTACCACGTTGATAGCATTTATATGAAGCATAAGAACAATTGAAGTGATAAACTCTGACAAAATATGAATGTGTTATAATAGTAATTGTTATATAAGTGATTTTATAGTGTCTATATACAAAAAAAGACTATTAATAAGAAGAGTGGCCAGCAGAGGGCAGTAGAAGACCACTTATTGGCTCACTTTCATTTTCAACTACTTTGTTTCTCCAGTATTCTCCACTGAAGCAAACCATTATTTTCATGTTAACTCCATAATGCATGCTTACACACACACACACACACACACACACACACACACACACATACACACACACACACACATTTTTGGGATATGTTATTGTGAAAATCTGTTTTAATGGTATATGAGCATTTCACATATTTCTTTGCAATGTAATAATATAAAACTAATTAAAGAAAATGCTTTAAGCATTTGTTTGTTAGCCAATGCTGAAAGCTGATAAAAAAAGATTAAAAATGTCTAATGCTGCTGCTCCATCTAGTGGACAACAGTGCTATTACAGCCTACTTATACAATAGGCCATGTTTTTCATATCATTTAATCTACACACGCTCATTCTGATGTAGATAGAGACATTTGGAACTTCAGGAGCCAATGTGACTCAATTGTCACTTCAATAGACGATTTTTGACTAAATGTTATTGTAAATGTTAAAATAGTGAATTTATAAAGTCTAAATATTAATTATAGTTGAGTAGTGTGACAAAATGACTTTTTTTAAACAGCAGGGGGCAGTAAAATACCACTTATTGGCTGTTAGCCTTTTTTCAAGCTGTTATATCTGTTCTTGACCTTTTTTTAAGAAGCTATGAGCATTTATTGAAAAGATATTGGCTTTCGGTCAAGGCTACATATTGAAGTGACCCTATTATAGTCATCCAAATGAAGAAGTTATACATTTTCCTATAATTATTGTTGTAGAGAGTACAGAGCAATAGATGCATTTTGACAAAATGTGATTGTAAATGTTAAAATAATGATTTAATAAAGTCTAAATATCAATTATATATAAAAATATTAGAGAGTAGTATGATGAAATGACAGCAGGGGGCAGTAAAATACCACTTATTGGCTGTTATAGCCATCCAAGCTGTTATAGCTGTTATAGCCATCCGATTTACACTCTATTATAGCCATTCAAATGAAGTAATTATACCTTTTCTGATAATTATTGATCTAGAGAGTCCAGATAATTGTACTGCACTGGTTTTAAACATTAAGATATGAAAATTATACGATCATAGATGGAAAAGACCATTTACAGCCAATACAGGCAATTTACCATAGGAAATACATGGGTTTAAAGCTTTTCAACAGTTATAGCGCCACCTATTGTCCGATCTCCATGAAACTTTGCATGCTTCTTCATCATGGTATGACACATATGCTCACCAATTTTTGTGAAGTTCTGAGTTTTTATTTATGATTTATAGGCTTTTGAGTGTGTTTTGACACGCCCCCTTTTATAAATGACCCTGTTACAGTGAACCAAAGGGCAAAGTTCAACTTTTTTTTGATAATTATTGATCTAGAGAGTCCAGAGAATTGTCCTAGACTGGTCTGGTTCCGATCGGGCGAAAAACCAGGGACTAGTTCGCAAAAGTAGGTTTTTAACATATTCGTGAATATTTAATGAACGGTTTGATTGACAGCAATGATTCTAGAGGCAAAGTTGTTCAGCATGAGGAGATCTATCAAATGATATGCATATTGTGGGGATGTGTGCAACACCACGTGATTACAGAGCCGTAAATCTCGTTAGCGCCAACTAGTGGCCGATTTCTTTCAAAACTCTTTCAGACCTCTTGGGCCATGAGTCGAACATGCCCATCGAGTTTCGTTCCGATCGGCCTCCGTTAACCTCGTCTCATAGGTGCTCAAACTTCATTGGCAGATGGCGGCCATGTTTTTAGAGATACGCCAATGTCCTCATACACATACATGGGGCCTTGGACCAAGACACTGCATACCAATTTTCAAGTCAATCGGACTAACGGTCAGGTGGCCACACCCCCTTTTATGTTTTTTTAATGTTATAGCGCCACCTAGTGTTAGATCGAAGCGGTTTTTTTACTGTGACCCCAGACTGTCCTCATACACATGTGTGTCAAGATTGGTGAGGATATCTCATTTACTTCTTGAGTTATAGTCATTTTAATAAAATAGGCTCCTCCCACAACATTCATTTTACTCCCTCTAGCGACCGAAAATCGAAAATTCAACTTTTTTTTGATAATTATTGATATTCAGACTCCAGTGAACATTTCTGCACTGGTTTGGTTCCGATCGGGCAAAAAACCAGGGACTAGTTCGCAAAAGTCGTTTTTTGACAAAATTCAAAATGGCGGAAAATCCATCATGGCGGAAATGAAATCGGAGATATACGTTTTTTAAGTCAAGAGTCCAGCTTTCCAATGATATAAGACACTTGAGTCTACGCCTTACGGTTTAGGAGTTATGAGCAGTTACGCGCAATTGATTGCTATAGCGCCACCTATAGGCCAATCTGGGTCATACTCTCTGAACCTCTCCTCGATTTTTGTACTACCATCTGCCAAAGTTTCAAGTCTCTAGCCCTTACAGTTTGGGCTGCACGATGCGTTTTACGGCAGAAGAAAAATAATAATAATTAAAGCTGCAAGCAGCATTTAGCGGTGTTCAAGCAGTTAAGGCCTTTAAGGCCGTTAAGCACAAAAGCTTCAAAAGACATTAAGTTTTATGTAGCAAGCATTTAACCATTGACATCATAGATGGAATAGACCATGTTTTAGCATGATTTACCATGATATACCAAATTTAGTGTGATTTTTCATGATCTACCATGTTCCAGTATGATTTACCATGAATCTAGCATGATTTACCACAGTTTATCATGATTTACCATGCTATAGGATGATTTACCATGATATACCACATTCTAGAATGATTTACCAGGATTGTAGCATGATTTACCATGATTCATCCCATTGCTAGCATGATTTGCCATGATACACCATGTAATAGTATTTTTTACTATGATTTACCATGTTTCTATCGTGATTTACCATGATTTACCACATTGCTGCATTGATGTGAAGTGTCAATAAAAATGAAGTGATAAACTCTGACAAAAAATGATTGTGTTATAATAGTTAACATGGAAAAACTGGTTTGCTTTAGTGCAGAAAAATGATGAAAATTAAGTGTGTCAAAATGAGAGTGAGCCAATAAGTGGTCTTCTACTGCCCTCTGCTGGCCACTCTACTTATTAATAAAGTGTTTTCACAGGTGCGTTTGCACTCATATGTAGACATTTGCTCACACACACACATACACACACACACACACACAGACACACACACACACACACAAAGTCATTATGAAAATATATTTTGATGGTCTATAAGCATTTCATGTCTTTGCAAGCTATTAATCAGATTATTTAGAATTTATTCAGAAACATGGGACCACACACACACACATTATATTGTAGATTAAACTGTCTCATTCAGGGTTCACATTTGTCAGTGTGACATTTCATTTTGACTAAATGTGAGTGTAAATGTTAAAATAGTGATTATGTTAATTCTAAATAAGAATTATAGAATATTAGTAGTTAGTAGCATGACAAAATGACTATTTTAAACAGCAGGGGGCAGTAGAATACAACTTATTGGCTTAATGTGCCATTATGTTATAACTTTAACCTTTTTAACTGTTATAGATGCATTATTTCTTATCTTATTTAG